GGTCGTTCCTGCGCCATTCGAAGGGCTCGAGCCCAGACTGCCACGCATTGCAGTTTTAGGTCGTCACCACTATCGACAGCGCAAATGCTTCTGCAGCCTGCGTCGCCAGCTGACCCCCGCGCGCCATCGCACCAGATCGCTCCTTGGGCGCCCCAGGTTGCTGGAGCTCCTGGGCGCAGGAACTCCGGGCCAGGGGCCCAGAGGCGCCCCGCGTGACCCTGGCGGCGGCTGGGCAGGCCCTGGACTTCCGACCTCCGAGGGCGAGCCAAGCTCGCCACCCCCTCGGGATGGACGCGAGGACCACACCTGCCCAGCAGCGACACGGCATGCCCGATGTCGCCCCCAAATTCTGGCGGCGCGCTGGACCTCGCAGAAACAAAAGTGCACGAATGGCTCGCACTTCGCGGACCTGCGGAGGTCGGCGGCGCGGTGGCCAGAGGACGAACCTGACTCGGACGTTCATGGGCCGCCAACGCCTCCTCGCTGCCTCCCGTCGTGGCCCCCCGACAACGCCCGCCAGGTAGAGGGGCTCTGGGGGGGGGGGCGGCGGCGGCGGCGGGCGCGGCATCCACGCCACTGGCCTGGCCGAAGAGAAACTCCCGATACCGGCGCCGATTGGACATTGGGGAGGGCGCGCCTCGACCACGGGCCCACCACCAGGACCCCCCTTCTCTTCGGCAGCCCCCAAAAGTCGAAGGCGTCGAGAGTCGGCCAGGAGAAAGCGCGAGTCCAGGTGCTCCGCAAGCTACGTCAGGCTCGGGTCGCCGAAGCGACGCCGCGCTGAATCCCAGATCGGGCCCGTCCAAATCCACGACGCCAATGCCCGAAACTCTCGAGCCGGTCGAGCCGATCAAGCTCGCGGAAGATCGCCCGAGGCGCCCGCGCGATCTTGGACCGCCGCCTCTGGCTGACGCCTTCGCACCAGCGGCTGCCTGAAGGGGCTGCACGTGGAGAGTCTGGCCGCCCAGTGCTTGACGTCTGGCCCTGGCGCGGAGCTCTGAACTTCTTTGGCTGTCCTGAGCCTGCGAAGGCGCAGGAGCAGGCCCCGCAACCTTGTCCACACTGCCTGGGGTGGGAGCAGGCGCAAGCTGCGCTGATGAATCCTCATGCCGTCGACGCCTGCCCGGAGACGCGGCTGCCACGGCTTCCTGCTCCGCATTGATGGCCTGGGCCTCTTTGGGGGGGCTGTCTGTCCGAACAAGACCTTAAGTCGGGCCTGTCCTCCTACAGGGGGATGTTGGACGAAAACAAAAAAGAATCTCACAAAAAATGTCAACACAATGCTAGGCAAATCGTCCCCAGACTAATATTTCATTACTGCTGTATGTTCCTCCTGTAGAAGGACAGGCCCGACTTAAACATAATCTGGACTGCCGCCGTGGAGTTTCGCCTGCAGGCGCGCCGTCCGCTCCTCGAGCGCTTGCTTAGCTGTCGCGCCCATGACACCCACGACCGCTGCTGGTCGAGCCGTTCCTGCAGGCGGTCAAAGTGTCCCACCGCCTTCTCAAGCTTCTGCGTGGGGTCCTGCACTTGCTTGTGGGCTGGTGTGACACGTTAAGACAAGGGCGCCACATACGCTGCGTCGGCAGCCTTCTTCTCCGTTTCTTGCAACGCCTGATTTCTCCAACCTGATGCAGAGCTGCTCCAGCGGTTTGACTCCCATGCCCGACCCCGCATCCCCTGGAGACACCATGAACTGAGCCCCTGGAGCCAGAAAGAGTGGGGGCCCGCCGTCGCCGTCACCTCTACGTTTGCCGCCTCCGTGAATACCTGCCTTGCTTTTACCATTGTGTGGCTTGCCCGACTCCATCTTGCCAGAGCCTGACCATACACCTTCGGACTCCCTGCTGGCAGCGGGGGTGACGTCCGCGAGTTTACGCCCGCTTGTTTGACAAAAGATACTGCCTGCGGGGTCTCTCTTTCTTCATCCTCGCTGAGCGCAGGCGAGACCCTCATGCGTTTTGAACCCACCACTGCCCAGCCTTCGGTGTCCCACGACTCCAGGCCACGCCAATGCGTTCCACTGCCGCCTGACGGGACCTTCCACCACGGGGGCCAGGCACGCCAAGCACCAGCAGCAGGAGGAGCCATCTCGAGAGAGACTGGAAGCGGCGAGAAGAGGCTCTAACTGCAGCGCTGGCTGCCAGGTGCGTTTCCCCTGAAAAGAAAGCTGGAAGACTGCCGCGGACCAGCGGTGTCCGTTCTGCTCCGAGGACACTAGCATCTTGAGCCATAATGTCTACGGATGAAGACGAAGAGAAGGAGGAAGAGAAGTAATCAGGAGGAGGAGGAGGAGGGCGGAGGAGGACGGAGGAGGGATGGAGGAGGGAGGAGGAAGCAGGGAGACAGGAGCAGAGACGAGAGATACGAGAGGGAGGGAGACAAGGGAGGATGGTAAGGGAGAAGCGCGAAGAGGGACGTGAGAAGATGACTCCAGAGCCCCGGCGGCAGGAGTCCTGGCCCTCCCCGTGGTCCACGACGGAGGGCTTGGTGGGACCACCTGCGATATGTTTGCCTTCTCCTCCTCCTCAACTCATCCCTCTTCCTTATCTCGGGGGCGCGCAAGCATGGATCGGGGGAGGTGCCCTCCCCAAAATGCGACCGGTGCCGCCTCGCTCGGCGGCGGAAGTCCGCGATTCGCCATGGAAACGGGACCCGTCGCTAATCCACGCCCCCTTGATCCATGCTTGCGATCGCCATTTTTGTCCACCCGCCCGCGATTGTCCGGGAGTGGAAAGGCGCGTGAGACAGTTGGCCGCCCCCCTCCTCCTTTCCCCCTCCCCTGGGGTCCAGAATCCCGTCAGAGTTGCCGACCAGCCATAACTGGGGGAGCTGTGGTCTTTATCCCCCTGGGGGAACCCATCGCATCGACGATCTCTCGAGAGGGGTGTCGAAATCGATGGGTCCCCCAGGGGGTCAGGACCACAGCTCCCCCAGTTGTGGCTGGCCTGAGTGGGCGAGCCCCGCGGACCTCCCTGGCCCTCGTGGGTTTTTATGGTTGGCTCCTGGGCCCGATCGGGCCATTCCCGGGTCTTCGCTTCGACGGCTGCCCCACCTGTGTCCCACTGCGTGTGCCCACGCTTTCCTGATCAACGCAACTCGCCCGGGCATCGCTGCTGGACGGGCCAGGGAGGGTGAAGCGTCAAGAAATCACACCAGCTGCCACAATGAAAGGCGGGTCGCTTTCAAGACGTGGCTTCTGCATTCGTTCAGCAAAAAATTCGCCTGTAAAAGTTCCACCGAATACACGGACGAATCGAGGCTCTCGACATAGCACTGCGCACATTCGTCTGAAAATCTTCCGACGTATGACATGACAAAATGACGCTGTCGACATAGCGCCACGCACATTCAACATATAGTATCCCAGCACTTGCAAGGATAGAGGGCGGGCCGTTTTGAGAGTGTGGATCCCGCCTCTCTGCTGCGCACGTCCGTCTTCAAAACTCAACAATTATGAAAGTGGATGGCAAATCCTTTTTCAAAATTCCAATATAGCCGCAGCGCTGCGCGGAGCTGTTTTCTTTTACTTCCAACAGTTACAAGGGTGAAAATGACTCATGTATAAGTCGAGACGCACAACCAGTAGCTGTGTCGGACCCAGAAACACCAGGGCAATGCTCCGCCGTGTCCGAAGAGTGTCTTTTGCGAGTGGCAGCGATAAAAAACGGCCACCAGAAACGGCAAAAAGAAGACTCCAGAACTGGAAGACCGGAACCAGACCACAAAAAAGGCGGCGGGTGCAAAAAATCGATGTAATAAGTGTACGTTAGCTTGATAACTTCAAGTAGCGGAGCTGGGCTCCACGGACCTTGCCCGAAAGGGCTGTAGAAACTCTTTTCCACCTCATGCATGATTTGAGCAAAAACTGGCTCTCCACAGTACACAAGTGTCATAGTTAAAACAACCTCGCAAACTCAACCTTGCGAAGGACTCGCATGTGTCGCGTAGGGCTTGCTGGCTAGTGAACGCCAGCACCATGATCTGCGTCTCGAGCGGCCCTGGCGCGTTCTTCTTTTATCAGGGCATGGACAAGAGCGCCCGAGATCACCTCACCGAACTTGTCCTGACACCTGCTTATGTCCAGCATGAACTTCGCGAGCTCCTCGAGGCAAGTTTCCCACTTGCCCGAAAACTCTGGATTCACCTGGAGCTGCAGCTGCGTCACCTTGTTGGAGCTGGTGGCCGCATCCTCACGAACGCACAGCCGTCGCCACTGCTCCAGCCCATTGTCCTGCTCTCAATGCATGGCCAAAATGAGCGCGCTGCCTCCAAGAAGCTGTGATAAGATGTAGCTCATCGTCGCTGCGAACTGCTTCATGTCGTCACCCATCTCGGCCAGGGCAATGACTGAGCCGTGCGTTGTAGCTGTCGTGACTGCTGCTGCCAACCTCGGGTCGATCGCTCCTAGGTGGCCGACCAGCTGATATCTGAGGGTTCCCAACTCACCCCGATTCCCCGAGTACCTGTTCGGTCGGCCCAACAGTCTCGCATCAATAAGACCAGCCATGCTGAGAAGAAACCAATCACGCTACCATGCATGCACCCGAGGTAACAAGTGCACGTTAGCCTGATAACTTCGAGTCGCGGAGCTGGGGGTCCACGGGCCTTGCCCGAAAAGGCATGTAGAAACTCTGTTCCACCTCAAGCATGATTTGAGCCAAAACTGGCTCTCCACAGTACACAAGTGGCATAGTTACAGCACCCTCGCAAACTCAACCCCACCCAGATATTCCATCACCTACCTCCTCATCTCCAGTGCTACATGTCCTGTGTCCTGGACTCCTTCTCGGGGCCATCTGCAGCCACAGCCAAGATAGGGCATGCACTAGGAACACTTCAATAGCGCGCCACCACATGTGAGCTTGGACGCCAGCTATCTGCAAAGCCGCTCATGATGTAGACTATCTCCCTGTCAATATAACCGAGGGTGGTCTCGATATACACCTCGATCACTTCTTCTCTCCTCGATGTTGAGGATGATCGGCCAGGCCTCCGAAGACGCAAGTAAGCACGTCCACTCTCGATCGTCGGCAAGGCTGACCGCCAGCGTGTGGACCGCATGAGGATTGCCAAAACGGCATTCAACGTCTTGACCAATGATCGAGGCTGGCTGGTAGCTGCTCTTCTCCACTAGCTCCGTAGCGTCAGCACGCCCCACGTGTACAAACGCACCCAAGCCAACTAGACACTGAGTAAGAGCTCCCATCAACTCCAGCGCAGGTTTACCGATCTGGCCCTTCTTGCCGTTGCTTGAACGTGAACTCGAATCTCCACCAACTTCGCCCTTCCCAGAGAGCCATACCTTCATTGCCGTCAGGTGCTTCATGAAATCGGCTCTTGAGAGAGTCTCGGTCCCAAGATCTGCCGTGTTCTCGTCGGCGTGGACCTCGTCGGCTATGACCTTCGTCTCAGCTTTGCGCGCGACAAGGTCTTTGATGCACAAATCCTTCAACTCGATGCGTCGCATCCTGCCGACTCCCTTCTTCTCGACGTTGGTCAGGGCACTCGAATTGTCGCTCTCCCGCGTAACGGGCACCGTCTCGTCCAAGAGCTCCTTGAGATATGCGTGGGCCCCTCTCGACTCGATCCCAATGTGCACGAACGCGTTGAACTCAGCCTCGGGCGACGAGAGAGCCCGAGCCCCTCGGGTCCTAACAAACTGCATGATAAGATCTACGTTGAGAAACCGCTACCCGCAGCTGGTCGACTTTTTGCCGCTAAGATCCTCCGCCCGATTCGGCTCTGCACGTCCCGCGATCTTAAGCTCGTCGGTCTCAGGATATATGCACGTGACTGAAGACGAATGAGCTCGAATGAATCTGACGATGCGCGCGAGCCTCGCCTGGCCCTGAACCGCAGGCCGTGACATGCCCCCCGAGCACTCTTTCGCTGCATACTGAAACTCTGGCCTCTCCAAACATATGAACACGTTGAGGCCGTTGTTGCTCCTGAATATGGTGGCCGCCATGGAGCCCAACCCTTCCTCGCTCTCGACCTTCTCCTCGTTCTTGGTCCCTGGTATTGGGCTCGCCTTCTTGTCATTGGGCCCCATGTCGAGAAGCTTCTTAACGATAGCAGGCCACATGCGAACTTGAATGCCCTCGGGGGTGCGGAGCCAGCCACGCCCAATATGCTTGATCCCAGGACCTCCAACCGCAAGCTCCACAACATTGAATAGAAAGTGAGTGCCGAGCTCCTCCAGGGACTTCTTCGCTGAAACCCTTGCCCCACCAACGCGCCGTCGCCCACGCGCTTAGACATCGCCACCTGATCAGCCATATCTGCGAACGAGCACGGGCCCGAGAGAAACCTTTTGAACCTCACGTGCGAATCGTCGCTCCGCCCAGTGGCAATGCTATCAGAATGATCGTCAAAATCAATCATAGCCTCGTTGAGACCGCAGACTGTCTTGTTGAGCTTGAAGACGCAATCTGGGTTATCTGGAAGATGGCAGTACTCCTTGGGGCCTCTGCATACACCAGACCTCGAATCGGCGCGCACGGGAAAGCTCGAGATACGTCGAAGAGGTAGATCGCAAAATCCTTTGCGACAGCGTAGACCATCAGCAACTTGAGCGAGAACGAAAGCGGCGCAGGGCAGCACAGCTCACGCTTGCTCCCATTGACCTGTATGCCGAGCGGCCCTGCACAGAGCCTTGCCTTACGTTCGCCACTCCTCATCTCCAGGACCCAAGTCCACGCGAGAGCCTTAGATCCTCCAGGGTCTCTGAGAGTAAGCTCCCAAACCTCGTAGCCGTCGAACCGATCCAACTCGCTCTGCTTGGCCTCCCACTCGTCGTCCTCGGTCCAGCCGGTCACGACGCTGAACTCGCTGTCGTCTTTCAGCTCCTTGTCGACCTCGGCCACGAGCCTCCTCATCTCCTCGGCGGTGAAGCCCGACACGAGCTTCTTGAGATCGTCAGCACCCATGTCCTCGATGGCCCCTAGGAGGCCCCGGCTGCCAGGCGGCCCTCGGGGACCCCCTTCGTCGAGATCAGATTCCTCGGCCCCGCGCTCACTCGGTGACCCTGGCGCGGCCACCTCCTGCTCTCCACGAATCCCCCTCTCGATCTTCTGCGCCTGCCGCCGAACCACCTGAGCGCGATCCTGTCCTTGGTCTGGCTCAGGCCCCGCTGGCGGCGCCGCTCGCTGCTCGCCGTTTTCCGCCCCCATGTTGGCCGCAGGAACTGGGGCCACGACCACCCGTGGAGGCTCCTCGCTCTAGTTGACAATCGCCTTCTCATACTCGGCCCGACGCTGCCGGCATGTCCTCGTCCGCGCTGACCTCTGGCCGCGCACTCACAATCAGGACACCCCTCCGTCGGCTGCCAATTCTCGCCCTCGTAGACTCCAGCCTTCACTGATGTCCTCCAGGGCGTCCAACGCATAGCTCAGAGTCTCCACGTCGAAGCCCTCCTCACGGGCAAGCCGCTTGACCGCCCTTGCCTGAACTATCACAGTTGCCGCGGCAATAATACGAGCGTCGCTCTTCGCATTC